ACTTCCCGCTGTCTGTCCGTCCCTATGTATGCTTAGATCCTTAAAACTACGCAACGGATTTTGATGCGGTATTTTTAATAGATAGAATGATTCGAGAGAAAAGTTTTAGTATATAATTGGTTAAGTTTTTGTATACATTGGCTAAAATATAACGATATTTGTTGGAGGTGTCAGAAAAAAATAAGCCGCCTGGGAGCTTTAACGAAAACATTGCCTAAACCCTTTGAGATATAACAAAATATTGTAAGGTGTAATTGTGTATCTTACATAGGTCTACAGAAAAGTCCGCGATGGCATATATGTCATCGCTTAAGGATAACATACTATATCTATTTTAATTTAAAACGTAGCTGGGGACGAACCCGAGCGAAGCGAGGGTGAGTCGCTAGTAACGATTATAATACTCTAAACGTCATAACATCGACATAATAATAAGAATATAAAATATAAACATAATAAAAAATATAATAAAATAAAAATTGTTTTAAAAATAATTTAAGTACAGTGATTAGTATGCCAGAGGTTCTTACCCACTTATCGAGCAAGCACTGCGCCCGCATTGCAGGCGCACATAAATAAGAAACGACGTAACTGTCAATACGTCAGTTTGACACAGATAACTTAAGAGTTAAGGTATTTACTTAACTTTTTTTACACTTTTTTATTAATATACATAGTTTAATAATCTTATTTTACCAACCAATCTCCTTCGTGTCTTCTCCATTCTACGTAACATTAGCGAAGTAATCTGCGTTAAAATGGCACGCTTTCAAGCCATTAACAAAAGAACTGAATTAAATTAAATATATAAATTATTTTTCTTATTATAAATTCTTTGCAAATAAATACAATATACATAATAATATGTGTATAAACACAGCATTAGAACCGCAATGCTAAACAAGAAAACATCATAAAGAGATAAATAATGAAATTTAGATGAAATGCAAAGAATGATACGTTTGAGTGGCATACATCGTACTTTACTTACTAACTTAATCAGTATGACAATAGTAAATTTGCATTTATTAGTTAACTATGATTTAACTATGATTCTTTAAATTATCATAACCTTTTTTTATTTATGAACTGATTATTTTTGATTATTATAAAATAAATATTAAATGTTAAGCGAAGCTTACCAAAATAAATGAGTGAAAACCGCACCCAAATCGGTTAAGCCGTTCCTGAGATGAGCGCACACAAACGCACAGACAAAGAGACAAAAATTCTAAAAGTCATTGTCTTAGGTTCTATTGCGTTAATAAAGACCCCCAATAATAGTTTTTCTCAAATATCTTTCAGGTACAGACAAACAAACAAGGTACAATTTTATTATATGTATATTAGATTTATTATAGATTAGTAAAGAATTTTCATATTAAACGAATTAAGCTGTGGTCTCTTATTAATGAAGGAACACATATATTGTAATTCTTTTATGTTTTTTAAATGATGTAAAGTGTATAATTATAATATAATCTTTTGTTGGAGATCCTTATGAAAATAAAAATAAAAAATAAAATAAAACAAATATATCTATCAATCTAATATTAAACTACTATTGTATAAGGAATCTTATTTCTTACTACTCTTTTTTTTTAATTTACAAGCAGTGGCCTGTAACCAATTTAAATTTTAGGTTAATTTGACTTCTACGTTAAAAAATAGATAGCAGTCTAACAAGATTTATACACATTATATATTGAATAAAGCTAAAATAACGGTTGCAGTGCAACTTAGCAATCGGGTTTAGGATAATGAAACTCTGTATTCGCACCGAGCGAGTCAACAATGAAGAAAAAAGAACAATGACTCGGACCCCTCGGAGAAACGTCTTAGGTAAATCGACAGTATGTAGAGTTCTAACCGCACAGATCGGACAGAGTTAAGATTTTAATATCATTCGCAATATTTTCATTATTGAGATCTTTCTTGTATAAAATACTAACATTACATTTATTTGAGTTGGAATAATGTTTTATATTTTGCTTTACAATTACCAACTAACTACGTCTACGTATATCGCATGAGGAATCCGTCTAGTGGTTTGAATTACGTATTACGCGAAGATATGTCGCGTCATTCATTATTTTAAAATCAGTTTTCAACTTGTTTCACGATATGAATAAAATATTTAGTTACAATAAAACTAGTATAGTTAGAATATTTTTATGAGATATAAATTTATATTATAAAAAAAACTCTTTCCATTATTCTTAACTCTATGGTGTTTGGTTCACATGGGAATCGAATGTTCTTGAGGGGAGACTTATAAGACATTAGCGCTGAGACACGCCGAGATTTCTTTCTCCCCCTACAATGCGGTCTTGCCAATTTACTACTTAAGGATTCTGAATGAACACGTATTTAACGAATTAATTTGAATTATTTAAGTTATTTATCTTTATATAATAAGTTAATTTATTCAGAGACTAACTAACAAACATAATATAAAAATCAGCTATATTAATACATAATATAATTAAAATAAATTATTTATACGTTATTGTATCTATCCATATTTATTTTATTTCGTAAAATAAAGACTAGTCGAGAATTGCCACGAAGACCCAGAATAATTCATTAAGATTTTTTTTGTTCATTAATTGTAAGAAAATTTTCTTTCCCTTCAACAATACGCTTAAACTTCTCACCAAACTCTAAAGACTTCCTTCATCTTTAGATTTTATTTGAGCCTCAGCTATGATTGTAAGAAACTTTTGCAAAAAAGACAGACTGCGGATTAACAATGTCATTGAAGACGCTAGCCCCAGGTCCAGGTAGCAAGATGCGATCTTAAGAAATATGTAGACAATAGAGTGTACCATTACACAAAATTGAATTTTATCCCAGCATATTTAATAGCGAAAATAACTTGGTGTTAATGATAACTCGCTTGGAATGTTCCTATTGTCTGAAAAATCCGCGACACTTGCGCTTTCAACTTACGTACGATTTTATACCATGTCTGCAGTTAATAAGGTACAAATTCATTTAACGAGCGCATTACCAAAATTCGTTAAGTCGAATGCTTACAATAGCAACAGCTGATTCCCACAGTAACGGTTTTTAATTCACATTTTTATTCCAAATGGATGTCAACACGTTCAAGTTGAAAATTGCAAATTTATGTATCGTGGAACAATATTGTTTTAAGTCGATTTTATTTAATAGTATGGAATCTGTAAAATTGTAAAGTATCACGCATTCTGATCGCCATTTATTTGAAAACATATCGTTCGAAAGTTTCTTTTTGAGTTACCTACTTAGCGCACCCGCATGTAAGAGGTACTAGGCGATACAGGCGAATACGTCTACAGCTTACAAATTACCTTAGAACTTGTGTTGCTGCCACTTTGCGATTTCACTTTGGATTTAAAAGGCAATTTTCAAAATTATGTCACCAAATAAACGGAAAAGGTTCTGAAAATATGAATAGGTACATATAAATCCCAATTCTGTAATTGGCTTGTAAAATCTAAGACCAGACATAATCTTTTACATATTGTGTAAGTACTGATAGTGTATATTTTAATGTGAACATAACGTCTGAACAAACCTCTCCATATAAGTACTGAATTATTTATAGCACCATCTGGTAAAACTCTTATCAGTAATAGCTTAGTACAATATAGATTAAATATCGACACATGCACATACTTAAGTTTCATGATATCTTTAATTAAAAAACATTAGTTCAATATGAATATTAAATTACATGAGATATATAATGATTTTATACATGTATTCTTAGCTTTTTAGCGTCATCACGTCGTTATATTTAATCGTATTAGGTAAGTATTTGTTAAAGACCTTATGTTGAGGGCATTGCAAGATTTCTATTACGTGTTAGTACTTTTATAGATACGGTATTTCTGCTGTCAATAATAAACTTATTTAAAAAAAAATTGTAACTCCACCCCACCCTAATTAGGAAAAAACGGCTAGGCGTAGACTCGAGTACCTAAACATCACAGCGCCTCTCACTAGCTAAAAAGACATCTAATTATTAAGACACTTCATTTACTTACTCAATTAGTAAGGCTGCAATCTCTCGCAGAGTGCCAATTAAAAAATAATAGAAACCCCGGCGTGCGAGCGAGAGGCTGGAGAGCGCTCGCTCGCGCAAGTGGCTTAGAGATGATCCACGTCGATTGATAGCTCACTATTGAGTGATTTTTGCGGTACTTCACTGTGTTTCCTTTTTAGTGGCACATTTGTTTTTTTCCTCTACTCACTCTTTTTCAGTAACAGTATTTCCTTTCATCTATGATTTTTGCTTCTAAGCGCTTACTTAGCAATAACTCAAATTAGAAATTTAAAGCTGAATATTTTTAAAGTAAATGTTGGTATATTTTTTATTTCCATTAAATTTTCATCGTACCAGAAAGGTACTAAGCAAATTTAAAAGAGAACAATTTGAAACGTAATTGAAATTCGCATGTCGAAATAAAAAGCTGACTTAAAACCCTTCATAAAGCAGCAACAATTTTTCCAAAAGTAACGCGTCACTCGACGAGACGCGAAAAACTGAATTAGCCCGTCTGAATGCAAACTCGTAAGTAATTAGCCTCGCGAGACTCTCGATCCGCTCTCCTAAGCGAAGCGAAGCGAAGATAGCGGGATGCGACAAGCGGACTGAGTGAAAATGACTAATCAAATCCTCTCCGCCCTCGACAGCTTTCGAGAGCTTTTTATATTTTCATTGTGCCGTCAAGTATCACACGGCAGGTGAATTTGCCTACACGTAACGCGCTTCTGTTCCGGATACCTAGCTTCCCTCATGCGCTCCTCACACAAAACTCGAATGTACGAGTATAATACGTAACACAAATGGATTTATCGATGAAGTAGCATTAAATAGAGTTTGAAGTGTTTGAATCTCCATCTAGCTATATTTTATTCCCTATTATAGTTAGATTTAAACTTTCGAAACTATTATATCCAACAGTTATTAATTATAAATTATATGTAACAGTTGATTTTTCTTGTTACAGAGAGTTCTACTATATACAAATGGAGAAGTACGCGAGGCAAGCTATCAGTGAAGGGTTGAAGACGGCAGATGATTTACATGTCGCAGGCGACTCCGAACTATACAGAGTGCTCAATTTGCACTATAACAGAAATAACCATATCGAAGTGAGTATTATTATATATTTTTTAAATTATATAATAGATCTTATTTTTCACACACAATGTCAAAAAAAAAAGCATTGCTGAGCTTTCTTCTATATCTATACATATAATAAAATTCTAACTGAGTCGAATCTGTACATTAAATATTTTTTGGAAAATCTTATTGAAATAGTCGTTATTATCGATACAGAGGCCGAATCTATAATTGTTAGAATTATTGTTTCTGTCTGGAAAACTCATCGAGAGAAAACCACTGGACAGATTTTGATGAAATTTGGTATGATGATAGCAGAGATGATTTGATGATATCTGGGTCAACATATAGGATACTTTTTACTGCAGGAAAATATCTCATCTCTATACTAACCCTTAGAAAGTTTCTATTTCGTGGTGAGTCGCTATTTTATAATAAGACAATGTTAATATAGTGAATAAAGAGGTAATTGTTTCTTCCAGGTTCCACCAAACTTCCGATACGTGGTTGAGCAGACGCTCCGGGAGTTCTTCCGCGCCATTCAGGGCGGGAAGGACGCCGAGCAGAGCTGGAAGAAGTCCATCTACAAGGTGATCTCGCGGCTCGATGACCCCGTGCCCGAGTACTTCAAGTCGCCGAACTTTCTCGAACAGCTAGAGTGAACTATCGACTCGACGCAAAACATTTTCGGCTAACAAAATTATAAATCCATTGGACGATCGTTTCGCACACCAAAATTTTACGACACTCGCATTTAGGCCTTCAGATTCAAAATTATAAATAAAAAAAGTTTAATTAAATTATTAAAAATTTGTACGTTGGACGTCGAGCGGCGACAGCGCTCTACTAGGAAATTCATTAGGTTATACGAGTAAGAGAAAATTTAAGTCACCTAGAATTTTATTTCTGCACATAATATATTTCGCTATATATAATTATTATTATATTATTAAGTATTATCGTAAATGGTTTTTATAGTTATGTATATCTTAAAATCATTTATTGATTTATTATTTAAGGAAAAACGATTAATATATTAACTGCTTAAGTTTTGAATGTTTCGTTGTTTTTATTTGATTTTATTTTCCCTTTTCCTTTTCCTAACCCTTTGGAGAATGTTTTTTGTTTTTTAATATATCCCGTAATGTTTGCGTTTTGGCGCATCGCAGCGCCAAAAATTGTCAACCTTTACCTCGTCGTAATTATTTTAGGAATAATTAAAGTTAACCATAGTAATTAGTACAATAGAGCAGGGTTATTTTTCGATCCACAAACAAAGAATTTAAACGTTATTTTTATACTGATAGCCGGGTATTTGTTCGTGCAGATTTTTCAATAGAATAAATATTAACAGACACCAAATTCGAAAATTTGTAAACATCTTTAGTTTCGATTAATGTAAACATCCTATGTTGTATTTTACATATTTCGGCATCGTTCGGCAGAATCTTCAGTTTGTCCGGAACACCGCGGCTCGCCGCACCGGACCTAGGGTTAAGTTTATTCGTTAGATAAAATATTATATTCCGAATATGCGTGGGCCCCATAATATACACTGTGCGAGTGCGGAGCGTACGCTTTAATCACATTTTTAATTTTCGAAAGTATACAATATTCACAAGTTTAGAAGCCGTTAAATCTTTTCAATAATATATCTATAATCCTATATAACCACACCGCGTATTCTACTGGCATTCTTTTTCTACTTACAGTCGGGATATGTTAAGGTTTGTAACGCGCACGCTCCGCAGGCGGAAGCATTGCGACGACTTTCTCCTCTCATAGACATCTTCCAGAACCCAAGACAGGCGCAATAGTTGAAGGCAACAACGACAATAGTCCGATTTATATCAAAAACATACCGATTACAAAATTACATACAATCCATTTGGCTACAATCAAAACACAAACGCACTGGGCCACCTCGTCCGATCAGAAGTGCCTTCAAAAATGTTGATTTTTTACAAAAATAAATAAAAAATTAATACAAAGGGCCCTCAATAGAACCTTCCGCCCAACCGAAGACGTCGCGCGGCTTCCGCTCGCCGCCACAGCACACGCATTACCGTTCGCCGTATCGAACATACAGTATACATACACACATTACTATTATACTATAGAAGAATACTTAGTTTCATTCGTAGATATATGTAGCGCGGCGTATTCGAAGCTGGTCCCCGAATGTCTGCCAACAAGCAACATCTGTATCTTTAAAAGTTTCGATTTAGACAGGTTCGTGGATTCGTATAGCGTTCGGTCGCGAGCTCGAGTGCGCCGTATATCTTGATGTATTTGTTATAACGTGTAGAAGCCGGCCGCCGTCCCCGCCACGCGGAAACACTTTGCGTTCCCATCCTCAGTTACAGGACACCAAACCATATATTATCATTTATCGCTTCTTTACATAGACTACACAATAAGATAGATAGTTGTACAGAGATGTATAGCGACATGTATATATAATAACGGTAATTTTAATACAGATGAGATGATAATCTAGTAAAACTATCTTAGTGCTAATGATATTTACTTAAGGCTCCATAGACAAACGGCAATTGTGAATTGATTTGCGGAATTGTACAGAATGTTAAAGCATCTTTAGTTTCGAGTACGGCACCGCGCGGGGCGGGCGGGCGGTCCTAGCTAAGCAAGTGTAAGCATTTTTCATTTGGTATTACACTTTGTTAACGTTTCATTTGTAACCATTTGAACTATTACAATAATATAAGAGTACCTCAGTTTAGGATGGACCAGGCGTCGACTGGTGTAGAGTAGTGTTCAGGTTAGGTGTGAGAGTGATGACATGATACCTTCGAGACATCGACACATAGAAATATACACGCAGCCTCCCCCTTTTTGAATCACCGGTTTTAATTTCTGAATTTCCTTCCCCAACACTTTGAAGTGTTCCACACAGCCAATCCTTCACAGCAATAGCCCAGGTTAATTTTCCTCATTCACGTTGGTCGTCGGTTTGTAAACGCAGTCGCCGCAGGGCTTATTCGAGAACGAGAATCGTTCCATGTTACGTTAAAATTGTGTTTTGTTGATGTTATCTGTTTTGTTCTTGCCATAAACCGTGGCGCTTCAGAGCTAGAAGACTATCTGATAATTTTGTCAGTTTCACAACTCAGACTCTATCTCAACGCAGAGATCCTCAAGCCTCTAGCTTGAGGATCTCTGCGTTGAGATGGAATTGATATTATAATAATATTGAAGCCAAGAACATAATATATGGATTTGAAAGTAGCCTATATTTCCTTTCTCAGCTCTGAGACGCCACACATTTTCGGTACCTATATAAATCCTTGTATAGTAAGTAATGAATCCGTTATTCCGATCTCTCCATAGATTTTTTCATAATAACCTATCTTAACAGCGCAGGCTACACACACATATTACAATAGAAATGTATTGATTTCACATCTACAATATTCAACCGACATGCCGTAATTTGCAGATACTTGGAGCCGTTCTTTTGATATATATTTCTGGCAAGGTAAGTGTAAACGTGATAAATTATGATGTAATTTACTTTAAGTGATGATTGTGTTGTCCGGATTTTATACTTGAGTGATTTGTTGATTCACTGTGCAGCAGCCGCAATAAGACCACAATGGATATATTATTATACGATCGAGCCGATGTTATTTAATCGATTTTCATATCATTTATAAGTTATCGGTTGACAATTTTGTTCTATCTAAATTAATGTAAAGACTCAAGTTTGAAACATCGAAATATTAAGTCCACAGTGATCGAGGGGCTAACCCACAGTAAAAGTACAAAATTCGGTGTGACTTTAAAGCTCATGTTTGTAACTATATATGTATTGTAGATTTATATAGAATGTCCTTTTGGCGATTGTCAACTCTGATTGTTTCGACACTTTGTATCTAGATGATAGTTTATTTAAGTTTAAAAATTGTATCTAATGTTTTTCCTTTACACTTTTAGTATTTTTGAATCCGTCTACGAAATATTTGGAGTATCGATGGAAAATGAAATTAATATCTAATTATTTTCAAAATTAATTATAAACAAAAATCAATATATATATGAATAATATATTTGGTTTCACGTTTGGGTATTATGGTTCCTAAATTTTGGAAATTGTAGTAGACTCTATTGTGTAGCATTTCATTTTTTGGAGTTAGGAAACATTTAGACGTACCAAATAGATGTATCAACTTTTCTATACGAAAAAATCAGTAAGAAAAATGCTGAAAATTAGGTAGTTATAAAATAAGTATCATTCGTTTATTATATCGTATGATATAAAAATGTCAAAATTGAGCACGGATGTACTATTAGGATCAGGAAACAAATACTGCCGATGCTAATCAGTAAGTATTAAGTAAGATAGCTTGAACGCTTCCTTATTTTAAAGTTTATGATCTGTCAAACAAACATAACACAGAGTCCCGGAGATTAGAGCGTTCATAATTTTGTATATGAGAGTATATAATATTATCTAGTACTAAATAAACGATAATTTCGATATCCTTGTGGTCTTCATTCGTAACAGCGATACACGTTCATTTTGCATTCTCGTGAGTAATGCGTTCGTATATAACTGTGTTATGTTGTTTTAATATTTTTGGTAAGTCGCAGTCCGCGACACCGTTTCGTATGATGTATTTGTAAATTACAGCGAGCGGACGCGGTCACCGGTGATAAAATTAGATACAAAATTAACAAACAAAATTAATTAAATATTTAGTGACGACACCACGTACTTTAATCGAGAATATGACACATGCGCGATGTCCGTGCGGTCAGTCGGATAAAGAACGAGGTGTAGCTAAGGAAAATTAAATTGACTAGGGTTTAGGCATTATTTTCGATATCCTCGCATTTCGGCTAAGTGACAAGGGCCCGCGTCCGCTTGTTTTCGATATATTTAGTACAAATTTCAAGATGTTAAGGTTACGAGGCTCAAAGCTTTTCTTTCGAGGCGCCCACGCCGCCGCCCTGCTCTCGCGCCGACCATATAAATGAGTCGTGTATAAAATTTTATTCAAAAGAGTATTTTTGTATTGAATATTTCTAAAGTTGGTGTAAAAATCAAAATTTGGTAAATTATAGCGATGACAAAAATGGACATTAGATAAATTTAGAGTGTCATGCGTTTTTTGTATTTAATTTTAAGAATAGTATCGGATATTAAACGTTTAGGAACATTAACCATTTGTAAATAAAAAGTTGACCGTCGCGTGTGCAGGGAAGCCGTGTGGCCGACCAGTTATATAGATAAAAAAATATATAAATGACTAAAAGATGTTTATATGGTTCTGGATGTAAAAAGATAACTTTAAAGGCAATTTTTAAGGTGAAAAGTGAAAAAAAATTTAAACGATTCCTTGGTATTTGTCTTAGAATGGCTGCTAGCGGGTCACTATTGTAATCTGTGGGCCTCAGACAAAACTACCTAATAACCACAAAACTAACCTAACCTACATTAATTATTACGATTCTTAATAATACAACGTTAATGTAATGTATCACATTGTCATAATGCTTATAATTTACGAGCGTGTGTCTTTGTCCGTGAATGTTTAGGATCTTTACCACTGTTTGGTGTTTAGAGATAAAGTGGAAATTACTTGGAAAAAATGTATCTAAATTAAAATCTAACAGTCCTCTGACCGATAGATTG